TAAATGTTTTCTCATTTTCGGGATATAAATTTTTCTCAAGGCTTCGAGTGTACAACATATTTTCATTCATTCACACTCAAGAGGAGTATTGTTATGAAAGGTTGGGTGTTACCATGTTCAAACATAGGTGGGGCCAATGATAAAAGCTGAAAAGTCAGAATAGACTAACCTTGACTAATTTTAGCAATAAGGATTTAAAAATTTTTATTTTTTTAAATTAAATTATAATACCAAAACATTTTCCCCACATTTACTAATAATACTTTATTGCTCCCTTAATCACACAGAATTTTTAATAACCACTCCGTATGTTATAAATCCACAAATTAAAAGCGAAATAAATCTTATTCATTCACATCCCAACGGGGTTGAAATTTTACCACAGCCACTTTAGCCATAAATCAATTTAAGGGAAACCTAAATAACAAAATTAAAAAGTTTAAACTTGAAACGTCACAGTTTTAATCCAGTGTTATGAAGACATAGAGCCGTCGCGGTGTCATTAAGTTGAGTATACTAGGAAGAGCAGAAAAGGAAGCCTCTTAAGAAAATTAACGTGCAACAGAACAGCGATGGGAGTAACGTTCGGTGGATCGTATAACCTCAAGGGATCGGCTGTCTTGTTAATTTAACGCCACAGCACGAGAGAGCGGATTTTCCAGGCTCTTTTTCGATTTCAAACGGTCCACCACCGAGTGTCGGTGGTCGCATGATATTTTCGATCGATCCGGAATTATATTTGGAGAGGGCGACGTTGCCGGAAGGCCCACGAATTGTACGGAGGGTTCGGCCGAATGTAAAACTAGGACGATATGTGAATATTCAATTTCCATCAACTATACACGGATAATATTTAATGAAGACTCCGTTAATTAATTTATCAACGTACCTTAATTCCGTTTCAAAACAAGTTGTTTAACAAGAATTTTAAAGAATCCTTGAGGGTTTACGAAAAGTTTTCTTATATTAAACCTATAAAAACTGCTGGCTATTACATAAAGACCTCTTAGCTTTCGATTGAATCGTTAAACGAGCGTGCAATTTTAGAAATCGTTCAGTCACGGTACTCGACACTTGATTTACGTGAAAGGTGTATCGAACAGCAAGAATTCTTCACATTCAAAGACGGTTAAGTTTGTGACGTTTTCAAATTATTATCGATTTTTTATTAATAATTCGACCCCCACCATTGGGATCTCAGAAACCATAAGAGATAAAGAAATGATTAAATGGGGGCAAAGTTGCGTATCTTAGAGCTCACCATTTTTCAATTAAGTTTTTGGATCTAGCCGTTTCAGTTTTTAAAATATGGCCGAAAAACAAAAAATAGACTTTTTCGTTTTTTACCTATAACTTCTTTATTTTTCGTTTTTTCGTGAATCTGAAAAAAGATTCTTAAGGCAACTTTTTATAAAAAATGTCACGACACAACTAGAAATTCTCTCCGACGTTTCGTTTTCGTGAAACTATCATCAGGTTTATTTTTTGTTATGAACGCCATAAATATTTGATTTCCACACCAAAAAATAGGATAATTAATTCTGATTTCAATGATATGTCACACAATGTATTTCATTTAAAAAACATTGAATTATTAAAAAAAAACCTGATGATAGTTTCACGAAAACGAAACGTCGCAGAAAATTTCTAGTTGTGTCATGATATTTTTCATAAAAAGTTGTTTTAAGAATGTTTTCAGACGAAGGCTTTCACGGCTGGTGTTAAGAACTAACACTAGACCTAGAACTAGAAACTTTCGGGTTAAGCCGTGCGTTTTTTGAAAAAAATGTTTGACGTTTCGAATGCCATGTTGCAACCTTCCTTTGATTTTAGAGATACAGCAATTTTTACAAACTGTCATGGTAACGTGTCGAGAATGTCTTAACACTTTGTAAAAATTGCTTTATCTCTAAAATCCGCCCCTTTTGTGATTTTTAAACAGAATTTTGTCATTAGCTCAGCAATATAATAGTTTCCACTGTTCAAAATGTATTTTCAACTTGTACCTTACTCTCTATTCTGAAGATGCCTGCTAGGACAGGGGGTCGAATTTGAATTACCCTGTATAAGAGGTAATTCAAATTGGTCTGCCTTAAGAGTTAAGTTCTAGTGACAGTGCAAGTGTAAAACTGGAACTAACATCATACCTAGAACTAGAATCATTCGGGTTTAGTCGTCTTTAGAGACGTGTGGCTAAACCCAAATGATTCTAGTTCTAGGTCTAGGTATAGTATTAGTTCTACACAGTAATAGTGCTAGTGTAAAACTAGAACTAATACTAGACCTAAAACTAGAAATATTTTGCTTTCTGGTTCTAGATCTAGTATTAGTTCTAGTTTTAGTTCAATAACAATACACAACCTAGCGCTATGTAGTGCTAACTAGCACTATTTAACACTGTCACTAGAAGTAACACTAGACCTAGATCTAAAAACATTGAGGTATAGCTATACGTCTCTTAAGTCGACTAAACCCAAATTTTTGTAGTTCTACTTTAGTATTAGTTCTAGTTTTAGTTTAATGAAAAATATACAACAATCTAGCGCTGAATAACTATTAAAACTAGAACTAATACTAGACCTAGAACTAGAAAAGTTTCAGAGACGCCAACAAAACCCAACCCAACCCGAATGTTTCTAGTTCTAGGTCTAGTGTTAGTTCTAGTGACAGTGTTAAGTAGTACTAATTAGCACTACATTGTGTTAGGTTGTGTATTGTTACTGAACTAAAACTAGTACTAATATTAGACCTAGATGTTTCGGGTTTAGCCGTACGTCTTCAGACATTCAAATTAGGTTTTTGTAATTTTTGTACTTCAGGGCTTCTTCCCAAGATGGGGCGGCGTAGAGCACCATCGATCTCACGACTGATCCTAGAAGCTTCCTCTTGACCTCACCTGGTCCTCCAATTCGTGGCATAATCGTGGATAGAGTATTTTGAATTTTTGAAGCCTTTTCTACTATTTTTTTTAATATGAGTCATTCGTAATCTTTATCCATGTAGACGCCAACATACTTCTCAGAACTACTACTTTTTATTATTTTGTTGTTTTTATTAGTTTGCGTTTTTAATCTCTAAGTTGAAAACTGTCATGGTAACGTATCGAGAATGTCTTAACACTTTGTAAAAATTGCTTTATCTCTAAAATCCGCCCCTTTTGTGATTTTTAAACAGAATTTTGTCATTAGTTCAGCAATATAATAGTTTCCACTGTTCAAAATGTATTTTCAACTTGTACCTTACTCTCTATTCTGAAGATGCCTGCTAGGACAGGGGGTCGAATTTGAATTACCCTGTATAAGAGGTAATTCAAATTGGTCTGCCTTAAGAGTTAAGTTCTAGTGACAGTGCAAGTGTAAAACTGGAACTAACATCATACCTAGAACTAGAATCATTCGGGTTTAGTCGTCTTTAGAGACGTGTGGCTAAACCCAAATGATTCTAGTTCTAGGTCTAGGTATAGTATTAGTTCTACACAGTAATAGTGCTAGTGTAAAACTAGAACTAATACTAGACCTAAAACTAGAAATATTTTGCTTTCTGGTTCTAGATCTAGTATTAGTTCTAGTTTTAGTCCAATAACAATACACAACCTAGCGCTATGTAGTGCTAACTAGCACTATTTAACACTGTCACTAGAAGTAACACTAGACCTAGATCTAAAAACATTGAGGTATAGCTATACGTCTCTTAAGTCGACTAAACCCAAATTTTTGTAGTTCTACTTTAGTATTAGTTCTAGTTTTAGTTTAATGAAAAATATACAACAATCTAGCGCTGAATAACTATTAAAACTAGAACTAATACTAGACCTAGAACTAGAAAAGTTTCAGAGACGCCAACAAAACCCAACCCAACCCGAATGTTTCTAGTTCTAGGTCTAGTGTTAGTTCTAGTGACAGTGTTAAGTAGTACTAATTAGCACTACATAGCGTTAGGTTGTGTATTGTTACTGAACTAAAACTAGCACTAACAGTAGACCTAGAACTAGATAGTTTCGGGTTTAGCCCTATGTCTTCAGACATTCAAATTAGGTTTTTGTAATTTTTGTACTTCAGGGCTTCTTCCCAAGATGGGGCGGCGTAGAGCACCACCGATCTCACGACTGATTCTAGAAGCTTCCTCTTTACCTCATCTGGTCCTCCAATTCGTGGCATAATCGCGGATAGAGTATTTTGAATTTTTGAAGCCTTTTCTACTATTTTTTTAATATGAGTGGTCATTCGTAATCTTTATCCATGTAGACGCCAACATACTTCTCAGAACTACTACTTTTTATTATTTTATTGTTTTTAAGTTTGCGTTTTTAACGTCTAAGTGTATCATTACGGCATAACTTAATTTTTTTTTCTCTTATCCTTTGGGCTAACGACATTATTGGTTCTATTGTCCCCATTCTCTTTCTGTAGCCATACTGTATCTTGCTAATTAAGTTGTTCTCGTCTAATTCCCGTGCCAATCTGTTGGTGATGAACCTCTCTAGCATTTTCCCTACCAAGCTTATCAAACATATTGGCCAATATGATTTTTTCTGGTCTATATTCTTCTTTGGCTTCTCGATTAACACTAATTTAGCTTTTTAAATAACCCATTTTTTAAGCAATCATTACATACTGACAGGAATATCTTGCTGTTGGCCTCTATACATGTTTTTATTATTTCAATTGTTATTCCATCTTCGCCGGGGGCTTTTTTTGTATTTAATTGTTTTATGCATAACATTATTTCTTCTAGTGTTCTAGTCTAATCTTAGTTCTAACGATAGTAGTTAATTCTAGTTTTAGTTCAATAATAGATACACAGATAACAGAACAATAGATAACAGAACTAAAGTACTTAAAGTAGAACTAAAACATTGAGATTTAGCCGTTTTTAGAGACGCACGGCTAAACCCGAATGATTCTAGTACCAGTGTTAATTCTAGTTTTAATTGAACTATTTCAGTAACTTTTTGAATCTATTATATATTTGAGTTTAACAATAAAAAGTAACACACATACCCTGGTTCTTCCTAGTAGCAAAGCGTCCATTTCTCCCTCAGGATTAGCTTGAGCACCACTTACAGTTGCAATTGGTTTAACGTCCGCTGTGGCCATTTATTTTTCCAAAAGCCAAAGAAAATATTTGCCGTCGCCGTTTTTTCGGTTTAAATTTTACATTCGTTAACAATTCAATTAATTTTTTTAAATTTTAAAAGTTATTTTTGTTTAATTCTAATACATTAACGATCGTTTAAATTTATATTTGGCTAACAATTATTATAATCATGTTATAACGTGTATAATAGACATACAATTCTCTATTAAAATATATGGTTTTAATCGTGTATATAAATACGGGGTATACTAATACGAAAAATATGTTGTTCTCTACCTGATATCTTACTTATTTTTCTGGGTAAATATATTTTATTAATATTAATATTTCTTTGGCACTAATTTGTAACTACTTTCCCGTTTATTACTTATCTGTATTTTGTTAATTTTGAATAATTCTTTTGGTACTAATCACGTGGACCCATAGATGCAACACTTAAGAAGTGTGAGATTATGAACGGTTATTCCCCTAAACTCTAATTATTGAGCACATTGATTTTCTAAAAAGAGTTCGTTACTAAGAAATTCGGAAATCATTACAGAAACAGTAAGAAAAGTCGTGTAGAAGTTAGAAAAAATAAACTTTTTACATCTTAATCCGCCCTTTTTGGATATGTTTCGGTGTCGGCCGGTGGATTTCTTGCGATTCCGCGACGTGCACTCTCGAGATCAACATTAAAAAAATATTCGATTTGTATAAATTTTTCGTTTATAAATTCAAAACTAGTTTTGTGTTAAAATTCCTTAATAATTTTTTTTGATTTTTCTGATTAAGACGAGTATTTTATTTTTTTCCCGCGCACGAAACTTTTAAATAAACATCGTCGAATCAATTCGAAGCGATGGATTGTTTACAGCGGAGACATGTGACTTGCCCGAAAGCTCGGCTTTAAGTGGGTTGATCTTGGTCGGTAGCACTTTTACCAGCGCGAAGTGTAGACGCAAACGCTCCAAACGGAAAATAGACGAATCTACTGAACGTATTGATTTTCTGAAACAGTATTAAAGCTTCGCCGTTAGAGGACACTTTTACAGTTTTCAGTTTATTTATTCAACTAAATATAGAGTACTTTTTCATAAGTCGAGCTTTCAGAAATTTAAATATGTTGAAACAGCGAAATAAGGTAAATAATCTTTGAAACACCAATGAACTTCATCAAACCTAGATGAAAGTCGGTAAACAACCCCACCAATTAAGGTTATGGCATAAATAATTTCAAATTAGTTATGCTGATACAACTTCTTGAGGCAGAACATTTTAACTCAAAGTCGTTTTAACATAGAAACCAACTCCTTTGCAACAAGCGAAAAGTTGTCTCTATTACTCCAAATCTCGAAAATAACAAAAAGTCTTGTAATAAGCTAAGTTAAAAATAAACTTTTTATTCTCCACCACTTTTGAGACGGATAAATTTTGTCTGGGAAAATGAAGACAGATAACTGGAACTTTTAAAATATAACTTCACCCTAAATTTAACCTCGGAAACGTGAAAATTTATATTCCATTCGAGTAATCACCCGGTGTAGAGTCCGACAAATGAGGAATTAAAAACATAAATCGTTCACCGCTGACGTATAGTTTCCATTTCCTCTAAAAATCTCTACTGCGAGATTTCTCTATCCAAAGAATGACTTTTATAATTGAAAAAGGGCACGAAATAATCCAATTTTACACAGCCACAGCGTTTATTGACGATCGACGACCCTTTTTATCCTGGTTTAATCAGATTCGTTTTTCAATTTTCCTGACCGCTGCAACGTTGCAGTATTAATAGGATTTTTTACGGTTCAATTCCAATACTTACTAAATTTACGGGACTAGTGGTCTGCAAAAGGATGCACTATCGTTTAGACTATGATGTAGATCTACAGGGAATTGCACTTAAAATGCAATATACAAAAATATATTTTTATAGAAACCAGGGTGTAACTACTTACTTTGTTCCATATAAAATGCAACACGTCATATAATTTGTCATTATGCAGCGCTAGACCAAGGACTAGAATCATTCGGGCTTAGCTGTCTTAAGAAACGTAGGGCTAAACCCAAATGTTTCTATTCTAGGTCTGATATTAGTTCTAGTGACAGAGCAAGTGTAAAACTAGAACCAACACTATACCTAGAACAAGAATCATTCGGGTTTAGCCGTCTTTAGAGACGTCTGGCTAAACCCAAATGATTCTAGTTCTAGGTATAGTGTTAGTTCTACCATTGTCTTTAAATAGTATTATAATATATTTAAAGACAATGATTCTACATAGTAATAATGCTAGTGTAGAACTAACACTATAGTTAGTTCTAGTTTTACACTAGCACTAGTACTACGTAGAACTAACACTATAGTTAGTTCTAGTTTTACACTAGCACTAGTACTACGTAGAACTAACACTGTTAGTTCTAGTTTTACACTAGCACTAAGTACTATGTAGAATTAACACTATACCTAGAACAAGAATCATTCGGGTTTAGCCGCACGTCTCTAAAGACGGCTAAACCCGAATGATTCTTGTTCTAGGTATAGTGTTAGTTCTACATAAAATAGTCCTAGTGTAAAACTAGAATTAACACTAGACCTAAAACTAGAAACATTCGGGTTTAGCCGTCTTAAGAAACGTAAGGCGAAAGCCAAATATTTCTAGTTCTAGATCTAATGTTAGTTCTAGTGGCAGTGCAAGTGTTAAACTAGAACTAACACTATACCTAGAACAAGAATCATTTGGGTTTAGCCGTCTTTAGAGACGTGTGGCTAAACCCAAACGATTCTAGTTCTAGGTATAGTGTTAGTTCTACATAGTAATAGTGTTAGTGTAAAACTAGAACTAACGCTAGACCTAGAAACATGCGGGTTTAGTCAAATATTTCTAGTTCTAGATTTAATGTCAGTTCTAGTGACAGTGCAAGTGTAATACTAGAAGCAACACTATACCTGGAACAAGAATCATTCGGGTTTAGCCGTCTTTAGAGACGTGTGGCTAAACCCAAATAATTCTAGTTCTAGGTATAGTGTTAGCTCTACATAGTAATAATGCTAGTGTAAAACTAGAACTAACACTAGACCTAGAACTAGAAACATTCGGGTTTAGCCGTCTTAAGAGACGTAAGGCGAAAGCCAAATATTTCTAGTTCTAGATCTAATGTTAGTTCTAGTGGCAGTGCAAGTGTTAAACTAGAAGTAACACTATACCTAGAACTAGAATCATTCGGGTTTAGCCGTCTTTAGAGCCGTGCGGCTAAACCCAAATGATTCTAGATCTAGGTATAGTGTTACTTCCCCATACTACACAGTAAAAAATAATTACATGGTCCAGTACTGGTAATTTGTTGCCATCTATATTCATGTAAAAAGTTACACGTATGTAATAGCAAAATAAATACATATCTAAACAAGCGCATTTTCCATTTCTATGTTTGTACTTTTCGTTTGTGATTGATGTAATTGTACTTCTTAACCCAGGATATGTACACGTATTAACACGTAAAAATAACTATATTTATATGTAAAATTACTTGTGCTATGAATATTGTAGTTCGTCTGCTATGTAATAATTCATTATTCAGCCCTGTACTTTTACATAATTTTAAGCTTAAATAATTGTAAAAATACGAATGTCATTATGGAAGTTCTACATATCCAAATTCGTTTTATGTCCAAATTATGAAAGCCAATAGTTTTTCCACCATTGTTATAATGTTTTACAGTACAAAAGCATTAAAAGAATAGTGGAAAAAGTGTAAACTTTTACAATTTTAACAGACGGCAAACTTGGAACACAAAAACTTTGTGTACAACCTGTATACGTACTAAAGGACACCAAACAACCAAACACTAAATGGACAGATTAAAGTGGTTTATTATTATTATAAGAGAGCGCGTATAACGTATAACGCGACTATTCATACGTTATTAGACTGTACTCGGCACAATGATGTCAACGTGTTGTGCGTAGTTGCAAGCACACAGTTGTGCGAACTCAGAAAATGGTGGTGGGGCCATCCCGTATTTTACATGTTCGTAATAGTAATTTTTAACAATATTACATAATTTCCCAATTTATTAAATACATTTACATTGTTACTTGATTTACTTGATTTTCCGTTTATTTACAGGTTTTTCCTATAGTTTACAATGCTTTGTGTAATTCATATTAAAAAAATGTAATATTTTGTAAATATACTAATTTCCTGTCATTTTACTTGGTATTAACTGGATTTCGAAAATTACGTTGTTAATTCATGTATTATTTCATAAGTCAATCTTGTAGTTTAATGTAGTATAATGTATTTTTACATCCATTTTTTACTGTGTAATAGTGCTAGTATAAAACTACAACTAACATAGATCTAGAACTAAAAACATTCGGGTTTAGCCTTGCGTCTCTTAAGACGCAAGACGACTCTTTTTATCCTAGTTTAATCAGATTCGTTTTTCAATTTTCCTGACTGCTACAAAATTGCAGCATTAATAGGATTTTGATGCAAGGAGAGAATAGCGTTTTGTTTGCTTTCAATCTATTTTCATGGTTGCTTATAAGCTCTTCTTGACAAAGAGTCATAAAGCTAATCGTGCGTAAATGTACATTTAAAGGTTACATCTTGTGCGTAATACTGAGAAAAGCGTAAACTTGTATTTTATGAGAAATAAAACTAGGGAAGGGACAATTACGCACAATGTCTTAAAAGGTGGAAGGAAGGAAGCGATCTCGTCTTCTCCAAGGGAATATAAAGGAAAAGGTTGAAGTAATAAACTAAGGAGAGTAATGTCTGTCTGAAATTGAGTCTTTATCTTACGAAAAACTTTGTGCGTTTGTAGATTTTACCAACTTTACTAACATTTTTATACGGCTTTTAAGATAAAACTTTTTAGAGATTTATAAAAAACTCTAATGAGCTTATAATTTTTTTTTGAATAAATCTCACACAAACGTGCGCATAAACTATCGAAAATTTGTCTTATCGCTTCGCATTATTGGCCGCAACAGTATGCAAATGCGATCGCTATCTGTGCGAGACCGAAATTTCAGCCTAGAACGTAATAAATGAGAATTAATGTTACACGTCGCCCTGTAATGTTCCCTAAAACCACCATTGGACGCTACATGGTATTAAATGCGACGAATAAAAGTAAATGACATTGTGAGATAAACAGAATTTTGTTAACCAACCGGTAGAAAAACGAGTGTTTGTAACCCCGTATAAAAGGGTAAAGGTCTGATAAGGACGTTTATTTGCAAGTCACCCAACGAGATTTGGAAAATTACCAGATACGTACAGAATTTAAATTTCCTTTAAAATTAAGGAAAAATAAAATGATTTTTTTTGTAAACCCGAAAATAATCATAAAAATTTATTGATTCAACGTGGCTTTTAAATTTATAAAAAAATTTATGGTTCACACCGGGGGCGAATATTGCTTATAAATCTTCAACGTATAAGAAGCAGTATTTTACGTTAACACGTAACTTGTCGCGGAAAATTTCAATGTTAAACAATAAAAATCTCAATAAATCATTGATTTACTTTTTATGTACACGAAGATATCCAGCGAGAAAACAAACGAAACGAGAAAATACGCGAAAATTATACGAACTCAATCTAATGAAAGTTGTTTGCTTCGTATATCGGCGAAACTTGATTGCGCAGAAAGTTTCTCCAACGATCCACTACAATAACAAGCTTCAAGGGTATATCTATTAATAAACAATCACAAAAAAACTTTCTCTAAAGAATTAAGAAATGGAGAAGGAACAAATGAGATGGCGAAAAATCGCTTGAAAAGAATAGGAAGTTATCGATTGAATTAGAATTTTTGGTAAAAGACGAGAGCTTTCGAAGTTAGTTGGAAAGTTCGAAAAATATTTGTTTAGAATGTAGGATGATTGTTATGAAATTTAAAACTGTGAATTAAAACTTGATGTTTAAAAACATCTTCTAGTTAAGATAACTAAGAGATTGTTTACATTAAAAATATTTATTTATGCTACTATGTGAAAGATTTTAATCTGTAAATAAAGATAATATCTAATTAACAACATAGTATTATAACTTAGTTTATTATCTTAGTATTATAGGAGGAAATCTTCTTCTGTCAACAGTACCCCGTTTTTTGTAAGTGGTATCTAGTTCTCTACCAGGAACATGTAGTATTCTGTCAGTAGTATCTAGTCTTCTACAAGCAGTATCTAGTCTTCAATTAGCAATATCGAGTTTTCTACGAGGTGTATCTAGTATTCTGTTACGTAGTTTTCTATTGACAATGTCTAGTCTTCTGCAAACGCTATCCAGTGTTCTATAAGCAGTATCTACTTCTCTGCAAAGAATATTTGGTAATGTACCAACAGTATCTAGTCTTCTGTATACCACGCCGTGTGGCTAAACGCGAATATTTCTAGTCCTAGGTCTAGTATTACACTTGCACTGTCACTAGAGCTAACACTATACCTAGAACTAGAATTATTCGGGTTTAGCCGTCTTTAGAGACGTACGGCTAAACCCAAATGACTCTAGTTCTAGGTATAGTATTAGTTCTACATAGTAATACTGCTAGTGTAAAACTAGAACTAACATTAGACCTAGAACTAGAAAAATTTGGGTTTAGTCTTCAGACGCACGGCTAAACCCGAAACTTTCTAGTTCTAGGTCTAGTGTTAGTTCTAGTTTTTGTTTAATAACAATACACAACCTAGCGCTACGTAGTGCTAACTAGCACTAGTAGTAGAAAGCCACACGTCTCTTAAGACGGCTAAACCCAAATTTTTCTAGTTCAAGGTTTAGTGTTAGTTCTAATTTTAGTTCAATAAAATATATACAACAATCTAGCGCTGAATAACTATAAAAACTGGAACTAACACTAGACCTAGATCTAGAAAAATTCGGGTTTAGCCGTCTTAAGAGACGTGTGGCTAAACCCGAATGTTTCTAGTTCTAAGTCTAATGTTAGTTCTAGTGACAGTGTTAAGTAGTGCTGGTTAGCACTATATAGAACTAAGTTGGGTATTGTTATTGAACTAAAACTAGAACTAACACTAGACCTAATTAATCATAATAAGAACATAATATCTAATTAATAACATAGTATTATAGGTTTCTTATCTGGAAGGATCGACATTTCTACTTGAAGGAGGAAATCTTCTTTTGTCAACAGTATCCTGGTTTTTGTAAGTGGTAACTAATTCTCTACCAGGAACGTATAGTATTCTGTCAGTAGTGTCTAGTCTTCAATTAGCAAAATCGAGTTTTCTACGATACACCTCGTATTCTACTACCTAGTTTTCCATTGGAAATGTCTAGTCTTCTGCAAACGCTATCCAGTGTTCTATAAGCAGTATCTACTTCTCTGCAAAGAATATTTAGTAATGTACCAACAGTATCTAGTTAAATAGTATTTAGAAATGTTTAATCTCCCCTCTCTAACTTTCTGCCAACAGAACCTAGTTTTCTGTAAGTAGTACTTGGTCTTCTATTAGCAGTGTCTAATCTTCTGCAAACGTTTTTCAGTGTTTCATAAGCAGTATCTACTTCTCTGTTAAGAATATTTAGTAATGAGAGCACAGTATCTAGTCTTCTGTATACCACGCCGTGTGGCTAAACGCGAATGTTTCTAGTCCTAGATCTAGTATTACACTTGCACTGTCACTAGAGCTAACATTATACCTAGAACTAGAAAATTTTGCCGTTTAGCGTTTTTAACCCACGGGTAAACCCGAAACTTTCTAGTTCTAGGTCTAGTGTTAGTTCTAGTTTTTGTTTAATAACAATACACAACCTAGCGCTACGTAATGCTAACTAGCACTAGTAGTAGCAAGCCACACGTCTCCTAAGACGGCTAAACCCAATTTTTTCTAGTTCTAGGTCTAGTGTTAGTTCTAATTTTAATTCAATAAAAATATACAACAATCTAGCGCTGAATAACTATAAAAACTAGAACTAACACTAGACCTAGATCTAGAAAAATTCGGGTTTAGCCGTCTTAAGAGACGTGTGGCTAAACCCGAATGTTTCTAGTTCTAGGTCTAATGTTAGTTCTAGTGACAGTGTTAAGTAGTGCTGGTTAGCACTATATAGAACTAAGTTGGGTATTGTTATTGAACTAAAACTAGAACTAACACTAGACCTAATTAATCATAATAAGAACATAATATCTAATTAATAACATAGTATTATAGGTTTCNGAACATGTAGTATTCTGTCAGTAGTATCTAGTCTTCTACAAGCAGTATCTAGTCTTCAATTAGCAATATCGAGTTTTCTACGAGGTGTATCTAGTGTTCTACTACCTAGTTTTCTATTGGCAATGTCTAGTCTTCTACAAACGCTATCCAGAGTTCTATAAACAGTATCTACTTCTCTGCTAAGAATATTTAATAATGTACTGTATTATTTTGTTTTGTTCGAATTAATTAATTATATAAACCAAATTTTTTTACAAATAAATCACACAGAAAACATATAACAATTATTTAATTGGATAACAACGAACAAAACATACATTTTTTTTGTTAAATTAAAGAACATGAATCTCAGGGACAAAAAAAAATAAACCGCAAGTTCATGGAGACATCTATAATTAAATTTTTAAATTTACGAACTAAATATAAAATAGAGCATAAAGAAATCTGTGCAAGAAAGAGGTAACTCCTTTATAAGAGTGTTGAAATTGGCAAAGCTTATACGCGTTAATTAATCGTTAATTAATAATTAATCGCGAGGGTTATAAAAATTAAATAGTTCGATAAAAGGAAATTATGTTCACTTAACTTGTTTCCGGAGGTGTGACATGTCAGTTAAAAATGGTTGGTTGACCTTGGTCTTGCGGGATGGATGTTCTTCGGTGTTAGAAGGTTAGGATTCTCGGGAAATTTAGTTCTCGGGTCCTTCGGGAACAAGATGGAACATTGGACTCGATCTCAGGTATGTTTCGATTTCTTCGAAAATAATTTAGAAACACTTGTTTACTTTTACTAGATAAAAGTAAATTGAGTTGTCAAAAAAAAGTTCAAACTTAGGTTAGAAATTTTTAGGTTAAATTGACGTAGATTCGACAACGCTTCGCTCTAGCCAAAATTGAACTCTCTCGGTGTCAAATTTGCGCGGCCTTATATACCCTTTTTGGACAAAGGCTTCTTGGATATCCGAATTTGGTCACCTCAGTTTGAATCTGGGCTCTCTGATTGGTTGATAAAATGGCGGGAATTATAAATTACACAGGTTAGCCAAAATGATTGAATTTTTTAAAGAAAATAACTATCAACTTTGAAAATATTCGAAATTATTAATAAACTTTAAATTTGATTAAGATTTTGTAATTTTGTAGTTAATTTTTCGTTCTTTTAGATAATCGCGCTTTCGGGTGTCAAATTCCTTCGAGAAATTCGTAATTTGATGTAAAAGTTTGGAAACAAAAAAATGGAATTTAAATATATAAAATGATTCAGAAATGGATGAAATTGCGGCCTAAGGGCTAAATCGACACGATCTATCGATCTCGCATGGTTTTAGAATGGAAAATCGTCTGAAAAGTCGCCAAAATCAATACCTGTCAAAATGTAAATGTCAAGGTCAAAATTTGAAGGTCATAGACTTCAATGAATTACCTTTTTCTTGCACATCGTCCTAATTTTTTTTAAAACTAAACGAAAATCATAACAAAACTAACTACTAAATTTAATTAGTCTTTTTTCTGTTTCTTCGGAAACAGGGATTTTATTACAGTACCAACAGTATCTAGTTAAATAGTATTTAGAAATGTCTAATCTCCCCTTTCTAACTTTCTGCCAACAGAACCTAGTTTTCTGTAAGCAGTACTTAGTCTTCTATTAGCAGTGTCTAGTCTTCTGCAAACGTTTTTCAGTGTTTCATAAGCAGTATCTTCTCTGTTAAGAACATTTAGTAATGAAAGCACAGTATCTAGTCTTTTACATGCCACGCCTAGTCCTCTATTAGCAATATATAATTTCTCGTTCTAACTTTCTGCCAATAGTATCTAGTTTTCTGTAACCGATATCTACTCTTGTATCAGCAATATCAAACCTTCCTTTATCAGTATCTCGTGGTCCGTTAGTAACATGCAATCAATGTCTTCATGCAATTATGTAATTTTTTCATATGGGTAGAGTCAAATAAAAGATATAGGTGTATAACTTCATTATAGTTTCTTGCATTGTCACTGTTACTTCAAAATCCCGCAAATTATCCTTTCCAGAAATCTTACCTTTTATTCTCATAGTATGAATATCCATAAATAAATCGTCATCCAACTAACTTTACGTAACTTATATAAGGCTAATACTCAGAAGAGCAACTTAATCTGAAGCAAACGATGAAAATAGTTTAGACTTCTATTAAAATTTTATCAATAAATTTAAATTGAAAACATTCCAATTGGATTTCAAAGGGAAAGTAATAAAATTAGTTAAAATTAATGCGAAAGTTATCGATTTGCTATGAATTTTGGGTATAACTGGGGTGTTGTCGAAGTTAGTTTGAAAGTCAACCCGAAGTTCGAATATATTTACAAGCAAATATTTGGTCTCAATGTAACAAGATTGGTTTTGCTGAAGGGGACTAGTTGGAACTAGCACCATTATGTGAATGATAAATGTATTTTCTTTAGATGAGGAAAATTGATCAATATCAATTAATCTAAAAGATTAATGATTTAAACAAATCGACAATTACTTTAGAAGGAACAAATAATCGTTGTAACTTAGCAAAGTTGTTTTTAAAGTTTTAACGTAGTAGTTATATCTTTGTGTGGTTGATAGGGATGATTCTAGTTGATCAATAACCTCGTTTCAAATTCGTTAGAGCAATTAGTCTCCTAATTACTTTGAACTAACCTACATATTACACTGTTGGTTTGGACCAATTTCCACTGATGTAAACTTGAACGGTGACATCTCTTAATCAGCATGAATCAGCACCCAATTACCGCTGCCGAATAATTTTGTTGATTCAACTTTTTAGAAAAAGAGATTACTTAATTAATTGCAGTTGGGTTATGTTGTTTTAATAACAACTTTGTCTACAACAGCTGTTAACGTTAACATTTAACATCAGTTAGTAGTAACTAAGTTAGTTGTCGAAGTTGTAGCAGAATTCTGCCATAATTAATGGCTCAGCGTAACTAGGTAAAATTCTATTTAGTAAAGTGTTTCTCTTTCCGGAAAAGAAGTAGAAATCTTAATTTATATAAATAATTAATTCATATCGAGTAATTAAGAAGGTTTTTTATTGTTATAAAACAGTTTGCTGGCGTACACATATTTTCCATGATGTTATCACCATAGGATGAAATGAGCACGCCATTTAAAAGCCTTCCTAACTATACGCTCGTTGGATAAATGTAGGTTTATAAATAAACAGGTCGATGCAATTTAAATATTTTATGGACGCTGACTCGTATCTCTTGCGATTAAAATTAAAAAAAGAAAATTGAGCCCGTTTTATCAATGATTAATAATTATAATAAGTTTGTTATCTGTCTATTTTCTTAAAATTGATTCGCACTTAACTGAGAGGTGTCGTGGGAATAAGACTTTACGTGGAAAGACGTTTCTTGTTATAGCTTCTTGGAACGTGAGATCCATGAATGGTCGAACGTAGGGGTTCAATTAAAGCTCGAGTCCATCGGGAACGGCTATCCAGTGTGGAATTTCAGGTAATACGGTTGAAACGCGACCTATGAAAGTTCTTAACCCATGAGAAGTTTTTCAAAAAGTTTTATGTGTTAAAATTTATTCCGCTAAAATTTTTTTTTCTTTTTTGGTGGAGGCGCTTGTAGAATGTTTATAAAAGTACATATTTTTTGTTAGAATTTGGAAATTCAACGATAACGTTATTTTCTGTTTTTGCTTCCAAACCCGTATGGGTTTTAACGAGCTTTCAGAAATCAATCAATCACGAGAGTTCGACAAAACGATTCGAGTGTACTGGCCTTTTTTCACCGAAGCTTTGTAGGATGATAAAATGCACCCTAAAGCGGGTCCGTATTGACCTTTCCACCTCTTCTAAGAGTACCCATCCAGGCATAAAGCGTGACCTTACAAATTAGATCCGTATTCAGTTTCCCATTAAACTACAACACTGTAAATGTTCTCTCTAAGGTTACAATTATTCGGTTTATTAAGCTTTGCTTGTATGTAATTAAACTTTGTGTGAGAATAACTAAAATAAATTGAGTTTCACATTTGTAATTTAACTTATACAGGATAACTAAATTATCGAAACGTAGAATTGAGTTATAGATGTTTTTTTATGTAGTTGTAGCTTTTTTTAGCAACATCTGCATGACTATAAAGGTTGCATTGTTTTTGAAAAGCTAATAATTCAATCTGTATCCCGGTAGTAGGATAATAAGCACTTCCTGCATTGTATTCTGCATAGGGCCATTTATCACGACAAACAATGCCCCGAGCTACCTCGAAAAAGGCAAATTACCTACTAAAAATCTTACTTGCAAAACTTTTGAATGACTCTTCATGATTGATAACGACTAAGTGTTCTATGTGCTAAACACCTCGCAAGTCGAAAATTAATGGGGCATCAACTCAAAAACCTACACTATCTATCTCTACAATTCCCGTTCGAGCTGATGTGGATAAATCAAAGTGTCCTCTAGGGAACACCCTAACCTTGTACTATGTTTTAATGCACCCGATTGAATACAATTTTCTTGCTTTTGTGAACTTAGATATTTATCTTGTTTGTAAATAAATTAATTTATCGAGGAATCGTAAAACTGGAATCAAATCTACTTTTCAATCTTCTTTGTACCTAAGCTGTACTATAATTGTATCACCACTCTTTCCTTTTGTCCCATTTACTCTATCTTCTTATTTTCTGCTTATTAAATTTTCTACTTCACCTTTATATTTTTCCATTATATTTCTTACATTTCTCGCATTTGCCTTAGAAGTGTACGGTTTTTATTTGTAACATCTTATACAAGCGTAGTTAGAAAATATAAGTTAAAATTTATTTTCTTAATATTTTTAATCCTATACCTAATCGAAACAATTTTACATGCAAATGATAATTACCATGTTACCTATTTATTATTTTCTAAAAACACTTATTATCATATTAATAACAAGAATTTGTAAGCAAAGGAAACGACAGATTTAAGAAAAAAAAACTTTATTATAGACATCAACAAAGCAATTAAAATAAATTCATTGTAATTATAATTTCTATTTAAACCCGTTTCACAAAATCGAAGATTGTTATTAACTCTTTGTTACTGTTACAGTAAAAATGGGTTCTGAAATTATCTTCTTATCTATTTCTTGCACTATAATGATAATAAACTCGGTATTTGGTGATGTGCCAAAATGTAATCGTGAAATGTCGTTAATAGAAAATTTTGATAGCATGAAAGTAATTTTTTATATTTTAATAATTAATAAATAATTTATTTATGTGTGTATAATTTTAGATGGCAGGTAATTGGAACATTATGTTCACCGGAAATGAACAAAAAAGTAAAAAATCCTGTATGAAAACAACAAATGATGCTCAAGTTGGTAAATTAATAATTGAAGAAGTTGGATTTGTTGAAGGGTAAGGAATTTCTTATTAATATTGAAATAAAAAATATTTGATATATTTCTTGTCAGAAAAAATGAAAATCTCATCATTACTGTCACTCAAATAGGATCTACTTCCGAATTCGTAGCAGAATCGAAAGAATTTCGTAAGAATATTTTAGTTTTCGCAAATTTTCAATAAGTTATTAATTATTAATGTTTAGCTTTAAGTAGCGTTTGGGTCGTTTCAACCGATTATTCATCGTATGCAGTTTGGTTCTTATGTATAAATGGGCATAAACAAGATGGTAATAATACCATATTCGTTTTGCGTTTCTATATTGATTTTCTTGTAGGAATCACATTTATATGTACCAGAGATGAGAAACCAAGCAACGAAGTTTTAAAGAAAGCCCAAGATGCTCTTCTAAACGCTGAGTTGATGATAGGTGAAGATTATTTATTCCCAGTTGATCACTCTAATTGTTAATTTCGATTAAATTAAAAAATAAAATAAATTAAAGTAAGTTCTACAATTCCTTGATTATTCTTGGCACAATATTTTTTCCTACCTTTTTTTTGGGAGCTCACATCATAAGTTCATATTCACGAGAGTATTGAATTCCAGTAGACCGCGTACTAGGTCTTGTGTTAGTTTTAGTGATAGTGCTAGTGCAAAACTAGAACTAACACTAGACCTAGAACTAGAAATATTCGGGTTTAGCCGCACGTCTTTCAAGACGGCTAAACCCGGATGATCCTAGTTCTAGGTTTTGTGTTAATTCTAGTGATAGTGCTAGTGTAAACTAGAATTAACACTAGGCCTAGAACTAGAAACATTCGGATTTAGCCGCACGTCTCTAAAGACAGCTAAATCCGTATGATTCACTAATCACTAGTACTACATTAGCACTAGTACATTAACGAATTAGTACATTAACACTAATTCACTTTAATTCACTTGCACGGCAATCGTAAATTCTCGAGAAAACATACAGATGATAGAATAAGGTTCAGCAAATTGAAAAAGATTCTAGTTGAAATTTAAACTCTCAACCAAAATACAATTAGTGCCCAATACCAAAACAAAAATGAGTAGAAAATTTACTATTACTGATAATTTTTACCCGATTTTTAAAAAATACATCGATCTCCCTACGGCATTAGTAACTTGGGAAAAATAAGAAGACAAATAGCTGAGTTTTTGAATCTGCCAAATCTCGAGATATATTCTGGACATAGTTTCTGCAGATCGTCTGCAATCTTACTCGTCGATGCAGGTGGAGACATAAGACTATATTATGGATAATAACATTCTACCCGATCGACAATCTGGCTTTCGTCCAGGTTTCAGCTGCGTTACTGCATTGCTTGATATCGTGGATGATGTGGTGAGATGGTAAAGCCACTGTCCTCTGCCTTCTTGACTACTCCAAGGCCTTCGATACCTTAAGTCACAAAATTCTATTGGCAAAGTTGCATTATATTGGTTTGAAGAATAAGGCGATTAAGATACTAAACAGCTTTCTAAGCTGTAGGATGCAGAGCGTTGGCTTGGACGGTCGGGAGTCGAAGACGTTACCTTTCTGGGGTTGGTGTACCAGAGGGGTCGGTACTCTCCCCACTTCTATTTTCGATGTATACATGCGATTTCTATAAATTTGTCTCTTTCTGTAAAACACACCAATATGCAGATGACACACAGCTATGTGGGTCTTTTGGAGAGAACGAGGTGGATGAGGCCTGCGTGCGTATCAGTGCCGATCTGGACACTCTTGTGGAGGTGTCTCGTCGTCATAATTTGATACTTAACCAATCAAAAACAGACGTTATTGTTTTTGGTTCAAAGAAACTTAGAGAGAGTATTAAAGATAGAATCAACATAAGAATAGGAAACAAACAATTGGCATGTAAAAACTCAGTGAAAAGTCTTGGTATAATAATTGATGAGAACCTAACTTTTAATGAATACATCAATAAAAAGATCCATTCTGCTTACAATCAATTAAAATAAATTAAAGTTTTAGTAATTTCTTGACAATTCTGGGCATAATATTTTTTTTGTAACTTTTATTTGGGAGTTCACTACATAAGTTCATAAGATTTGCATTGGGTTCTGACACCGTAAATAACGATCAACCCAACTCAACCCAATTAATCGATACCAACTCAATTTTGTTGTTTTGTGGTAATCCATTACTTGTGATTACATTAAAAAGGTTATTTAAGGACATGTACCAAATTTGTACATCTTAATTAAATAACCGAAAACTTTTTGGGGTTATAAAAGAATGGTTGAGGATACCTCATACCAAATTTAAAGTTTCCTGAATAACCAATTTTTTTTTTATATAAATCCATACAAATTTTTCCTTCTAAAATACACCTATTTAAGCCTCACACATATTTCTTGAGTTAAAGTCACGACGATTTTCTGGTATTACCATTTTTGACATTCAAACCTCTACAATGGATTGCCACTCGTATTTCACCGAATATCATCTCTTTTCCAAGAGGCGAAATCTAACAGCATCTAATACATACAGAAAAACGAGATAAAAAGTTTTACTCGTTTTAAAATAGAACTAGACGTTTCGAGTTGTACAAATCGCACAAGACTTCTTTTCATTTTAGATTTAATTTGAATTCCATTGCAAGTACCAGATACTCGATTTCGTATAACGCGACGATTAATTTAAATTAAATCGACCTATTTGTATTCATATATTCGCGAGAGTATTGAATTCCAGTAAACCGCGCACTAGGTCTTGTATTAGTTTTAATGTATTTTAGTGTAATACTAGAACTAACACTAGACCGAGAACTAGAAACATTCGGATTTAGCAGCACTTCTCTAAAGACGGCTAAACCCGAATGATTCTAGTTTTCGGTCTAGTGTTAGTTCTAGAGATAGAGCTAGTGTAAATCTAGAATTAACACTAGACCGAGAACTAGAAACATTCAGATTTAGCCGCACGTCTCTCAAGACGGCTAAACCTGAATGATTCTAGTTCTAGGTCATGTGTTAGTTCTAGTGTAAAACTAAAAGTTTTCTGGACATAGTTTCCGCAGATCGTCTGCAACCTTACTCGTCGATGCAGGTGGAGACATAACACTAAAGAGACACGAGGGTTGAAAATCCACATCGCGGAGGGCTACATTGATGAGTCAATTAAAACTAAAATGGATACAGCTCATAAAATATCGAACTCGATACGAGAGACTACTATGTGTAACTACCAAACTGAAAATCTCAATAAGATTAGTTCTATGTATAAGCAAACAAAATATTGAGTTAGATATAAACTCCCTACCTTCTTTCAATATTACTCATTACTCAAATACAAATATTACAATTAATGTAAATAAATAAGCTCAATAGTATTATAACATATAATTACTATCGCAAGTATCTTTGATTTTTTATTTTGTTAATGTCACATAAGTAATGATAAATAAAATTGTTTAAAATAAATATATGAAATTAAATTCAATAGTAGTCGTGGACAATGTATGGATAGTATTCTACACACATATAATGAGTTATTATTCACTTAGGTTAATTATGCCACTCGCTACGTTCGTGACATAAACTTAACCTTAGTGAATAATAGCCCTCATTATATGCTCCTAGAATAATATACAATTATTTTTGAAAAAATGTGGCTAGTCTCATTATTACATTAAAAAAAGTTGAACTCCTGCGATTTGTAGAACATAATATTGTAATGACAAACCTTTCAAAAACTTGTATTATAAACAAAAAATCATTTTACAACTTCCACGTCTTCGATTTCCTCGTTAGTTGCTCTCAGGAAGAAAAAAAAATTATGGTCTACAGGAGGTATGTATCGTAATAAAGAGTATACATTATCTAATTTTTTTTGAAAATTTTTAGTAGTTCGTTATATTTTTTCGTGAGATCGCTTATAGAGATTGACTCTTTTAAGATTAGTAGATTAATTAGACTCTTTTTAAGGGTAACTTCATCAAAAGTTCCATTAACTGAGTTTTTTATAAAGAATGATTTTGGGGAATCTACTTTAAAATGAAAAGAATAGACTCCAGAAACGTTTAATTTTTCACCTTTGTCAGTGCGTTCATTTTTTGCTATGTTAGATAGCAAAGATTTAATATTTTTAACTCTAAACCTAATCGAAACAATTTTACATGCAAATAATAATTACCATGTTACCTATTTATTATTTTCTAAAAACACTTATTATTACATTAATAACAAGAATTTGTAAGCAAAGGAAACGATACATTTAAGAAAATAGCTTTGTAGACATCAACAAAGCAATTAAATTAAATTCATTGCAATTATCATTTCTATGTAAACCCGTTTCAGAGAATCGAACATTACCTCTTTGTTACTGTTACAGTAAAAATGGTTTCTGAAATTATCTTCTTATCTATTTCTTGCACTATAACGATAATAAACTCGGTATTTGGTGATGTGCCAAAATGTAATCGTCAAATATCGTTAATAGAAAATTTTGATAGCATGAAAGTAATTTTTTATATTTCAATAATTAATATATAGTTTGTTTATGTCTATAAAATGTTAGATAGCGGGTAATTGGAACGTTATGTTCACTGGAAATGAACAAATAAGTAAAAAATCCTGTATAAAAACAACAAATGATGTTCAAGTTGGTAAATTAATAATGGAAGAAGTTGGATTAGTTGAAGGGTGAGGAATTTCTTATTAATATTGAAATAAAAAGTATTTGACATGTTTCTTATCAGAAAAAATGAAAGTTTCATCATTACTTTCACCCACATAGGATCTACTTCCGAATTCGTAGGAGAAAATATAAATAAAGTATTAGTGATTCCTTGAAAATTCTTGGCACAATATTTTTTTTGTAACTTATATTTGGGAGCTCACATCATAAGTTAGTGTTAGTTTTAGTGATAGTGCTAGCGCAAAACTAGAACTAAAACTAGACCTAGAACTAGAAATATTCGGGTTTAGCCGCACGTCTCTAAAGACGGCTAAACCCGAATGATTCTAGTTCTAGGTCTAGTGTTAGTTCTAGTTTTAGTTAAATAAAAATATGCAACATAGTGATATTTTATGCTAACTAGCGCTACCTACCACCTAAGCCATCTTAAGAGAAGTACTGTTAAATCAACCCAACCCAACCACATCTAAATCAACTCAACCCAATCAATCGATACCAATTCAATTTCGTTGTTTTGTGGAAATAATCCATTACTTGCTATGACATTTAAAAGGTTATTTAAGGAAATGTACCAAATTTGTATATCTCCTTAATTAAATAACCCAAAACTTTTTGGGATTATAAAAGAATCGTTGAGGATACCTCATACCAAATTTAAAGGAAACTTTAAATTTTTTTTATATAAATCCATACAAATTTTTCCTTCTAAAATACACCTATTTAAGCCTCACACATATTTCTTGAGTTAACGTCACGACGATTTTCTGGTATTACCCTTTTTGACATTCAAACCTCTACAATGGATTGCCACTCGTATTTCACCGAATATCATC